GGTTCGGGTTTCGGTTGTTCGTAAACTGTTATCAAATTGAGACACAACTATCAGATACCACCATTATGTGCTTTGCTAAGGGTTATTGCTGTAAACATTTTTAACACTGATGCACTGTGTTAAATGGTCACATATTATGTCATATATTAACTGAAAATCGGAAATATGTGTAACTGGAATCCCCTAACAAGTAGTTCAATACTAGTTCTGTCATTTCATGATTTAAACACCTGATGGCTTGAATACGTTTAGTATCACTGAAGAGTCTTTGAAGTACAACAAAACAACAGATCACCACTATTTTCATTTTCACTCTATAAAATAATCCAAAGGGATTGAGGTTGTAATGAATGTGTTTAGGTGATGTTATTTTCGATAAGTTGGATCATTTGATTATCACAAACTTCTGTATGACTCTGATCAAGTTGTTCAGAACAACAAAGAACGATTTGTAATTAAACCAATCAACTAAGTGAAGGCTTAAAAACTATCAAAACTATTCAAATATGATTAATAAAAAGTACATTGAATAGACAAACAATCAATCTGATCGAATTGTAGTCAAATATATATATATAACGTTAATTCATATTTGTACTGGTTGTTTTAATCTTCTCATTTATGTATAGTATTTGAATTGATCAGTCTCTTAGTAGTATATGACCATCTCCAATATTACCTTAAGCTACAAGCATTATAAGCAAAAATGGATAGTAGTTAACAGTGGAATCCAGAACGTGCGTTACGTTTTATTTAGGACTCATCACATGGGTATACTTGTATTTTATGAATTAAACGTCAGCACATTTCACAAATGAGCGGCTATCCTAACTCAGTAACTAAATGGATGACCCGATGGTGCTCCAAGCAGACGGTAGTAAGCTCGAGTACCAGAGTGAACATCAACTCTGGAATGCAAACATATCCAGCTGACAAAACCCAGACAGGATGAAACGCGTGTATTGGATCTCACTGATAGCCATAGTAGAACGAAATAGCTATCAGGTCATACCGCTTGGTTTTCTATGGTTTTCTAAATAATAGCCAGTCTGTAACGTAAACAATATTGTTATTGACTGAATAAAATGCTCATCAATTTTAGTGTGCAAATCTGATAGTAATAAGTCAGTCAGTCAGTCAGCTACAACGTAGGACCAGGCACATATATGCATCGGTCCAGGTTGCCATACCGCATTAGCACAACAAGATGAACACCGTATTCATAGGAGTGGTTAGGTTAAAGGTGGTAATATATAGGAGAAAGATTGCATATAAGGATATAGTATAGAATTAGTTAGCAGAAAGAAAGATATGAAGTGATTTTATTCTCTTAGTTTAAAAGAACACTAGGAGTGTATACACCGACGCCATTGTGATCGATTCTGAGCCATGTCACCAAAAGTCTCCAACCATTGTTTACGAAAGTCACGCGGACCCCAATCAAGTAGTCTGCATCTACCAACATGACTCAGACTAGAAGTTAGTGTCTTCAAGCACTGATGCCACGTTTTGGTTTTGCCGCCAATAATTCTCTTCCAACCATCTCTAACACCGGTTAGCATTGCACGTCGTGGTAATCGGTGTTCAGGCATACGTAACACGTGGCCCAACCATCTCAGTCGATGAACATTCACAACCTCGTCGACTGATTTACCATCATTTCCTAAAACCCTGCAACGGACCTCACAATTACTTACCCGGTGATCCCAGCAGACGCCAGCAATATTTCTAAGGCATCTGTGGTCAAATACTAGTAGCTTACGAGTGTCTTCTACTCTTAATGGCGATGTCTCGCTGCCGTAAATTAAAACAGAACGGTATGCGGCGCAGTATACTCGTCCTTTTATTGATAGACGGATATCTCGCCTTCGCCATATGTGACGTAAGTTGGCAAAGACCAAACGAGCTTATCGAATCCGTGCTGAGATTTCGTCCGATACCAATCCATTAGGTCTGATCAGACTTCCAAATAAGTGGAGTTGTCAACGCGTTCGACTACTTCACGCCCAACGCATTAACTCTGATGAGCTACAAAGGTCACATAGCCACTTACATGTACAATGGTTAGAAATTTTATTTAAAAGGCTTTGTATCTAACCATTGTTAAAACGAGCATCCTGATTTCCGCTTATAAATACCACTGAACTCAAAGAAAATAATTGTGGGTAAATAAAAATATGAAGTGCAGAACCAACACACTAACAACTACTCAGAAAAAAGCAGTTTGATCGGCTTTAAACATTTGTCTCTTGGGGTCAGCGGTCACCCTTCCAGGTCGGCAAAATCACTACCTATTCAATACTCTTTTCAGATACCTCAAGAAAAAACTATCTTTCGTCAATGTAGGTAACTGGGAAATATCAACTGTTCACATAACTCTAGCAGCATTCAAAAGCACCTTGTCTGTAGTAAATTAACTTCATCTCTTTTTAATATTTTTCCTCTATCTCTACTATCAAATTCTGACTTACAGCTTCCTCTTACATAGTTATAGTCATGTGCAACGTAGAATCTGATACATAAGTACGTCAGCTCAAGTTGTCATGTCTTATTAGCAAAGAGAGATAAAATTATCGAGACAAATCCCAGATAACTCAGAGTAGTAATAACGTTTGTAGTAGTAGGAAAGATTCAGTACATTTAAAGAAAAAAGGTATAGAGAGATTTTGTGACAAAGGTTAGGTTCTAAAGCAAAACAAGGAGTGAATGTATATAGACCCTTGTGAGTGGTCCTGATTTTTCATCAAAAGTTGCGAATCATCGTTTAGGATAATCACGCCGACTCCAACGCGGTAATCTCAAGCTACTTTAATGATTCAGTCTACTTGTTACTGACTTTATGGACTAGTGCCACATCTTGGTTTAGCCACTTTCAGTTTACTTAAATCTACTCTTAAACTAGACAATATTCCCCGTCAAGATAAGTGGTGATCGGGTATATGTAACAAACATCCCAATCACCTTAGTTGATAAACATTCATTACATACATACTACTACTAGTAATGCTGAGGATACAAATAAATTCTATAATATATTGAAATTTCTATTCATTCATACATCATTTTATGATAATAGAAAGAGTCTATAGAAAATCAATTTCACTTCTCTCAATTGATGTATTCAGTTAGAAAGGTAAGTTAAGGTGAGTGAAGTGAAGCAAGGTGAAGTAGCATGCAATAATCACTATCATAACAAACAACTAACTGAATAAATAAATAAATAAACCAGTGAAATAACCGATCAACAATAAATCAACGATTTCGTTGAGTATTTTTGAAGTTTCTATGTGATGTGTTTTATATTCTTCAAACACCTTCAAGTTGGTTTTCATTTCATATTCATAAAAGGACTGTGTTATACTTGAGTTGATCTAGAATAGTTTCGATATTCAGTCATTGTAATGCATTCAACATTTACGGTTATTTTCTTGTTGTTGTCTAACAGTAAATCAACGAGCACTACATATAGAAGTTTAATTAATTATCCCTAAAGATTTCGTCATTTCAATTCATCATCAATCGATGACGAAATTTGAAATTAATCAGTGATTAGATGGTGTCATTTTCATTAATGAGACTTGAAGGTAATGGATACATTTGTTTCAATGTATATGGATTTTTGATAATCATCAAACGAATGTGAACGCGAAAATTTCAGAAATTCTCATTGTGGAAATTAATACAAGATATCAAGACGAACAGAGTTGTTTTAAACTCGATCTTTATTAAACTTCACTCTGATATACGATACTTTGTAAAACATTTATGACATATTCATAAAACACAATGACATAAACAGTTATATATTGTGGTTGACATCATGAAGTTACTGTAACAAAACAATCATTGAAAACCAGTAGGCACTAGACAACCGTTTCGTCCTTAATATAAGACTTCTGAATAGTGAAAATCCACAAAACTAACATAGATCAAGTTCAAAAACAAAACACTTTACAGCCTCTGTATAAGCTTTAGGCCGTTGAGTCAAGAACGATCGATTTGAAATGACGCTCGAATTTCTTCTTTACACGAATGAGACAAATATCTACACACGATACCATGACAGTGTCTATTCTACAGGACTTCAATGCGATTTCGATCACGAACACGTGACTGATCACACTAGAACGTGAGAATGTTTCAACGACAATAACGAACAATAAGAAATAATAATGTGGTAGAAAACATGTGACACATCTAATACTTGTCAGACCATCTACTAGTCTGACCAGGTAAACAATCAATTAGTATTTTTATCAGCTACACATCAGGTTTATGTTTTTAACTTGAGTCAGCTCGCAGCAAGCCTCAGTAATGAGTCATTTCGAGAAGTAACGCCTAGAGTTCTACTAACAGGCTATGATCAATGTAGTTCAGTTATATCAGGTCTGAGGCAACTACACATCAATATCACTAGATAATGATTTCGTAATGTTGTAAGTTGACTGACTGTCTTCACAAGCATCAACCATTAGGTCCCAACTAGTGAGTATAAGGATTTATGTCTCACCATCAAGTCTGAAATTCTTTCAATGGTTCATCAGAGTAAAATACTGAACAGTTCAATGCTACAATGAATGAAATAGCCATTTAATGTTTCCTCATTTTCAATTATTATCTGTCTACAATCAGTCCATCCTGTGTATAACATAAACATTTAAACAATCTCTGTAATAAACAAAAAACAAACTAACGCTTACCAATATATTCTAACACTATGCCTTTTCCATGAATAATATATGGATCTAATAAATTTCAATTTGATGTAAACTGTAAACCGTCTACATTACTGATTAGACCATAAATTTGCCCAACTAAATATGATTCATCTGGTGCATATAATTTATTATAATCTATTGAATTCAATGAAAATGATCCAGAGGAGATCGAGGAAGAAGAAGAAGATAATGATGAATTGATCATTTCTACTTCTGGTAATTTTGTTTTTGTCTTTGTGGCGATTGTTTTCAATGTGGAATTATTGATTAAACAAAAACGAATTATTGGTATATTGTACCGTCATAAACATTAGATATACGATCATCCACTAATATATAATCATGACTACATACAATTCCAGGATTTGATGGACATGCTGATTCAGTAGCTAATATTAAATTATTATTATTTGATAATACAGATCTAAACGATGACAATGATAAAATAGTTGAGAATGATGACGAAGCGAAAGCTGATGAAATTCCATCTACAATAGTGTAGTAGAATAAAAGTACAAACAACGTAAAATGTGAATTGTATGGTGTTCTGAGGTTTACATCAATCCATTTAAATCACACTTGAATAATTCAACCATTAAAAAACAGATAAACGCGTGATGTATGCTACTTATTTTGACAGATATAAGTAGTATGTAATACCAAAGTGAAATAGAGTGACTTTTAGCAAAAGTTTCAGATTGAATTACAAAAATGTTATAATCTCTTTCTTACGGTTATGACCCAGCTATTACGTTTGATTAGTATTCTCGGACAGCGAATCACTCGACAAGTCCCCAAATCAGAACACGGTTGAACAGGAAAGAGATTATATTCCAAATAACTAGGTTAGATGGAAGTAAGAAGCAAGTCAGCAGCACAATAGGGAAAACGTTAGTATATTTAAAGTTTTTGCATGAGAAGATTCTGGAGTGTTCACTAAGTGTTGACTAATGCTGGTTGGATAAGAATTAGCCAATCGGTGTGCGCCAAAGCAATCGTGCATTGAGCATGCTTTAATCTAGTCTATGTCCCGCTAACAGAAAAACAGAAAAGGAAACGGTGAGGAATTGGAATGACAGGCGAATATGAGGAATGAAGAAGTATGTACTGGACAACTGAAGGGAGACCTGCAAATAAAGGACTTAATTTTACGAAAGCATTGTGATATTTGACGTTAAATGATAAATTTGTTATCCCCACAAAAGTGTTCGTTCAGTGCATTCGAATATTGTGTAATAACGTTTTATTGTTAATAACACTGATTAATACTGACAGTTATTATATTTTCATCAATTGAATTAAATAAATTAAACAGTTACTTTTGACAGCCTCTACTCATATTTTCATATCATACTATGACGTTTTTCTAGCTTATTAATACCAACGTGAAGACAGTTCTACCTCGAGAAATATAACAACCATCATCAAAAATGCACAAGTATTTATAAACAATTGTTCACGTAAAATATTGAATGTCCGTATGCCGGATACCATCAGCAACAGCCACCTGAGCGAGAGAGCAAACTAGCTTCTAAATGAAGAAAAAATTAGGAAAAGACGCTGAATAAGACATGTATTGCGGAAATCATCAAACTGAATCGCGAGGCATGTCCTAAATTGCAATGAAAGGGAGCATCAGAAGCAGACATCAAAAGAATCAATAGCAACTGGAAAGGATTTTTAAGAACAGAGTTCCAGGAAGAATTCTGGTAGGGCGGCCTAAGCTCCTCACGAGGGTTAACAAGCGCAAATAATGATGCCAAGCTAGGTTAATTACATTAATTTTACATTGAAATTTAATCCAAACATAAAGAATGCCTTTGATATAAAAAAAAGTATATATATTTTGAAAGCAAAAGAAATGGAAAGGTCAGCGGCAACAGGTAATAGCAAACGATTGTTCAGACTTTTTAAGGAAACCGGTACTACGAACTCAACTGTTGACGAAACTTTCTCAGAAAAAGACGGATACATTATACTTTCTCAATCCAGGAGATTGGATCGATGGGTAGAACACTTTAGGGATCAGTTCAACTGGCCTTCAATCACACTTTGGTTTCACACGACCTTCAGTCAACCTGAATGGCAAGTTAATGTAGGCCCTCTGCCTCTCTACAAAGTTGTAAAAGCCATAGGAAATCTGAAGCAAGGGAGAGCAGCAGGCGCTGACAGATTTACTCCTGAGATTTTTAAGGATGATGGTCCAGTATTAGCAAGAAGATTAAATGAGGTCTTAGGTAGAATTTGGGAACTGGACGTAATCCCATCTGACTGGTCTCAGTCACTGATTGTGCCAGTCTATAAGAAAGGACAAAAGTCCTCTTGTGACAATCACAGAGGAATCAGATTGACAAATATAGTGTCCAAAATATTAGCTTCAATAATACTTCGACGCCTAACCAAAGCTCGGAAAGAGCAGACTAGAGAAAATCAGGCCGATTCTCGACTTGGACGTGGTTGTATGGACCAGATATTCACATTACGTCAGGTTCTAGAACACAGACATACGTTCAGACGTCCCACAATGGTAGTATTTCTCGACCTTAAGGTGGCATTTGACTTTATTGATCGTAAGGTTCTATGGCAGTGTTTGTCACTGAAAGGAGTACCAAAGAAGTACATTAACCTTATAAAGGCTCTCTACTCGAACACAACAGGTAGTGTGAGAGCTTATGGCGAACTGTTATCAGAATTGATTATATCAAGTGGTGTTCGTCATGGCTATCCGCTTGTGGTGGACCAGGAAATGTACGAGTGTAAAAAATATTGACAAAGTTATTTAAGATCAATAGTGCTGTTAATGTATATAAGTTAATTGTTACAAATACAATAGAAAATAGGGACTTTACTTAAATTCACTAAATTGATGCGTGTCCGCATTTGCTCTGGTGTTGAAAATCCACAATTATAAATGTTTGATAATTCCAATCAAGTTGATGAACTCTCCAATGAAAGGTATGATACATTCCCAATCACAGTCTATAAATGTTGATAATATTCTATTTGGCCTTAAGTTAACTCAATCATAAATGAATGTAGAACAAGGGATATGTGTGCAACAATGTATTTGTTAGCAATCCACGGTATGTCATGCTATGTAAGTTACACGACGGAAAGTTTCTTCAAGGTCATTCACTTAAATAACACGTACAGCCATTTCACGACAAATGTACATACAGTGGAAAATTGGAAAGTTAAGTACAAATAACATTAAAAACTATTCACAAAATAAGCTTTTCAGGTATATCTATACACGCTCACTCCACTCTTGTTTAACTTTGTCGTTGGTGTGCTTTTAGAGACAACACTTTCCTCGTCTAGATTTCCAGAGGTTGAACTTCTACCGGGAGATTCACTTTTTGACCTAGAATATGCCGATGACATAGCTCTATGTGGTGAAGACGCTGGCAAAATGCAGAGTCTTCTGACCACTCGAAGCAACAATGCAAGCATGTTAGACATGCGATTCTCTCCCTCGAGGTGTAAAGCCTTGCTTCAGGATTGCGTTGCATCGACACCCGAACTAATGATAGAAAGTGAAGTAGTTGGGCGTGTCGACCTCTTCACTTATCTTGAAAGTCTGGTGTGTGACGAAATCTCAGCACGGACACAGAAGGCTCGACGGGTTTACTGTGCAGCAGTTCGTTCCGTCTTACTTTATGGCAGTGAAACATGGCCGGTAAGAGTAGAGGATATTCGTAGGTTACTAGTATTTGATCATAGGTGTCTTCGAAATATTGCTCGTATATCCTAAGAACACCGAGTAAGTAATTCAATTGTTAAGGGACGGATACTGGGTAAGGATGGCATATCGATTGATGACGTAATATAACTGTGGCACCTTCGTCTGGTGACGATGCAGCACCAATCGACTGGATCCATAATACTAGTCGGTTATGTGTTGCTAGATTAGAAAGTTCCATCACAGTGAGAAGAAATCGGCGTGAGAATCGATGCTTTTTCGTCATCTCTGCCAAGCCTCGACAGATTGCAGCCCGGATGAAATCAAGGATGAGTTTTACCACCAATTATCTGTTCTTCTGCAGAAATAGCGTTCGACAGATGTTTTAGTACTAGCCGGAGACTTGAATGCTCAGGTCGGTCATCTAGGCACAGAAAAGAGTTGTTTAGTTGACGGATGAGGAATCGTTGGTCGCAGGTCAGATAACGTGAACCGTCTACTGCCACTATGCACAGACCACAACCTGTTTCTGGCTAGCACTAACTTTCGGCATAGTCATCGCCGATGCGCTACCTGGCGTCCTCTCTCTACACCTCAAGCCTGGACTGAGATTGATCACATCGCGATCAGCTACAACTGGTGTGGTTGTGTACAAGACTGCCGCTCCTTTTGGAGTACCAATCTGGACTCTGATCATACCCTGGTCTGCGCCAATCTTACCTTACTTTTCAGTGGCCAACGAAGTGACCGTCACCAACGGATTGATGTTAGTAAGCTGGTTGCAACTTCTGTTGCTAGTAAGTATCGAACCGAGCTAGTTGCTAGGCTAGATTCCATTCCACCGAAAAGTATAGATGGGCATTAGTTGCAACTGCATGAAAATGGCGAGTAAAGCCGCTTACTGTTTCGCGAAACGTTCCCGCTTATAAGTACTGGGTTGCTTCAGGCTCCTTAAAACTCATTGAAGCCCGTTGGACTACTCCGAGTGACCGTGAGTTTAACCACAAATGAAGGATGTTACAAAAGGAAATCTGGCAAAGCTTGAGAACGGAGCGTGCCAATGAGCTGGAAGCAGCAGCTGCATCTGATAACTACCGGAAGCTCTTCCAACTCATCCGAACCACTCACTGTCAACAAGACGTGTGGTGTGAGGGAAACAATATGCGAAGATGACGAGTTGTCTTCCGTCATACTTCGTAGGTTATTCAAAACCCGAAAGTGATTGACTCAATTTCCAAATGTTCTGATGTGAGCATCCTTTGTAGCTTTATCTTTTGGTCCTCAATGACGTGTTGGTATTTGCTGATCCTGTAGTGTGCATCCGTTATCATGAGGTGTACCATTTTTCTTCCACTTTGCTCAGCTATTCTCCATCCTAATGGGCAGTTGATTGGGGGTCTATATCTTACACTTGTCGGTAGAACATGCTGGCGAAGACACTCATGGAGAAAATATAGTTGTTCCACTCGAGAACAACTGGTGATTGACTCAACAAATGTTTGAACACCACCATACTTATCACAGGCAAACAACCACAGTGTTTCTCGACATCAGGGCTGCCTTCGATTCGTTGGACAGGACTGTTCTCTGGGATGGTCTATTACAGAAGGGTGTTACTGAGAAATTCACTAACATCTTAAAGGTGCTCCATGTACAACTGTAATTACTCTCAGAAAGAAAACTTCTCATACCCTTTACTACCGACCCATCACATAACAACGGCTCCCATGTATAAAAACAGTCGCAATTCCTCCCAGTTACGCATAGCAGACCCCTCTCACGCTAACGTAAATAGCCATAACAGGG